CACAGTGCTCTGCTGCCTAGTCATTCTCTCGAGCAGAGGCAACAGAAGCAGCAGCAAAAATAGGTTCTAAAGGGCTGAAATTTGAGCCACAGGTGTGCACAGACTTACTTTTAGAGCAGTAGATTATTTTGCATTTCAGGTGGTCACGGGTGATTTGAGAAGGATCACTGACGGGAGGGTCAATGTAGGTCTCGCACACCATCGACACGACTAGTGTCATCCGCAGACAACGATTGACCTGGAAACAGAACAGGAGATAAGTGGCAGCTGAACACTGAGATAAGCGTTGTCAACAACACTGCAAACATAAACACAAGCTGTGCAGTGTGCTGTGTGTGTGTGTTTGTGTGTGACTTACCGGAATGTCGGTTCGATTAGCAGAGTTATTGCACACTATCCACACATTATCAGGAAGCGGCTTGCCGGAGGAGTTGGGGTGGCCGGTGTTGCGCAGCGTCTCGGCGTCGATGCGGCGAATGTGCGACCAGAAGACGGTGTCCCGCTGGGCGGCCGGCCAGACGCGCTTGTGCACCTGGTGGAAGAGCAGCGTATTGGGATTGACCTCCTCCACCACCTTCATCGACTCGAGGGTGTTCTCCCAGTCGAAGCGCACGTCGGGCGAGAAGAACTGGTGGCAGACCTCGTGGGCGCTGACGCCGCGCACGGTGTGCACTGCCTTCAGCGGATCACAGACGAGGCCGTCGATTTCCAGCTCGCGCTTGTAGAGGCGCATCTCGCCGTCCTCGGCGAAGAGCTCCCAGGAGCCGCCCCCTGACGCGGGGGTATCCTCCACCTCCAGTCGGGCGTAGTAGAGCTGCTCCATGGTGACCTGCTCAATCTCCGGCCAGAGTGGGTGGTCGCAGCGCTCCGGGGGGATCACCTCCAGTGGCTGGCTCAGCGTGCTGGTGCGTAGCTTCAGCTGGCGCATGTCTTCCTCCTGTTGGTCACAGCGGTCCAGTGCAGCGTCGATGGCGTCGAAGAACTCGTCCTCNACCGCCCGACGCGGGCGTGTCCTCCACCTCCAGGCGGGCGTAGTAGAGCTGCTCCATGGTGACCTGCTCAATCTCCGGCCAGAGAGGGTGGTCGCAGCGCTCCGGGGGGATCACCTCCAGCGGCTGGCTCAGCGTGCTGGTGCGTAGCTTCAGCTGGCGCATGTCTTCCTCCTGTTGGTCACAACGGTCCAGTGCAGCGTCGATGGCGTCGAAGAACTCGTCCTCCTTGATCATACTATGAGGGCCTTCCTCATAGTCCGGTCCGCCGATGAGGATCACCTGCTGCTGCGATGACTGCTGCTCTTGAATTTGCTTCTGAAGGGCGACGTTTTTCTGCAAGTCAAGCTGCAGCTCTGCCAGCGCTCGTCGCGTCTCCTCCAGCTCAGCTGACGCACGCTTCGACTGGGCTTCCACCGATCGACGTCGCTCCTGTTCCTTTTCGAGGCGCTTCTTCCACTGCTCCTCCCGTTGGCTCATCAACTCGATGCAGTTCGAGAGGGTGGCGATGATTCCCGCGGTGGTCGCCTTAAAGGTGAACGCTTCCTTCTTGAAGTCCACAAAGAGATTATCCCGGCTGGGCGCAATCGAGGCGTTCAATGAGTCACTGTAACCTGAGTCGACTGATGTTTGTGGGTTTTTATTGGATGCGTCTAGGGTGAGAGAGAGAGTGAATGAAAGGAAGGCGATAAGCGGAAAGCATGATCAGTGGAAAGGCCACTCGAGATAGTACACCACGGCGTGGTGGTGGTGGAGGAGGAGGTGAAGGAAGTGGCAGCTGAGTGCTGGTGACTTTGCAACTGGTGCTACTTACCGTTAGTGTTGGTGGCAGTCACTGCTGCTGCCGCTGCTGCTGCAGAACGGTTGCTCTCACTTTCCAGGTAGTTAAAGCCTATTGGGTGATGATGAAATGAAAAAAAAAGAATCAATAAAACGACGATAAGTGGGTGGTGGTGGTGTGTGTGATTAGGGTGGTCAGCAACAGCAGAGCTGATGTGCTCTCGAAGGAGCACTCAAACGACTGATAAAAGAAAAGGTCCATTTTTTACCATTCATCGACTGGTGTCTCCGGTGGCGCTTGAGGTGTTCATTGACGAGGCTGGTCGACTGAAGCGAGGAGTCAAAATAGTGCTGCAGTGTCTTTATCTGCTGGTAGAGTATGTTGCGGAAGGTCTCCATCTCTGACAGCTGTTCCTTGTAGGAACGACATGAGGTGATCGAGCTGATTGATAAGACTGATTCGTGGCGACGTAGACTGTCATTGTAGANATGAGGTGATCGAGCTGATTGATAAGACTGACTCGTGGCGACGTAGACTGTCATTGTAGATCGTGGTCGGACCGGAGGGGCCACAGGTCGCAGAGGCACTTGTGCTGGCGGAGGAGGCGGCGGCGGCAGAGACAGCAGCTGCAGCAGCAGAGGGTGCAAATGAGCCACTGGTCGACTGGTGCGTACCGGAGCCAGTTGACCCGGTGTCGCTGCTGTACTGCGTACTTTGGTAGAAGTTGCGCTGCGTCTGAATGGCCTGCACCCACCGCGTGCACTCGTCCACCGATGCTGCACGCAGATACCATACGCAGTCGGCAACGCCGATGTCAAAACGGCACTCGTCAATCTCGTGTAACTGTGCAGTGGGAAAATGGGGAAAATGGGAGGGGAAAGAGCAGAGAGAGAGAGCAACAAGCAGAATCATATGTTAGCAACAAACAACACAAGACAAGACCTCAATGGTACGGCGCAGTAGGAGTCATAGCAGTAGTAAATAGCAGGTACAGTACCTTTATGTTAGACTTGATGATGGTGACGGCACCTCTGCAGCCAAAGGACAGTTCATCCTCTGACTTGTAGTAGCTGAGCGTGCCGTCCTTCAGCATGATGAAGCGCTGTTGCCAGCCGTGGATGTAGTTGGTCCACTTCAGCAGCACTCCCGACATGGAAGGCAACGGAGAGGGGCCGGGCGCGTCGCCGATTGAGTCGTCCAGCGAGGCGGAAGAGGCAGACAGCGACGAGGTGGCCGACAGTCGTCTTGCCGACGACGTCTTCGGAAAGGCGTCCTCCACGGTGCACCTGCTGAAGTCATCGGCGAGCTGACCACTGCTGACCGACTGTCCGATGTCCAGATCCGACTTTACATCACCACTGTACACTTGTGCTTGATTCATCTTTATCTCTTTTTTTATGATTTGTGATCGCCAGAAAGGCAAATATTTCTAGTGATTGAATATGTGTGCGAATGGAAAAATTTCAATTTCTGGTTAAAATTTGTTTTGTCAACTTCGGTTGTTGTGCCGAGCAAATCGTCGTCGTTTGGTGCGTCGTGTAATGATACGGTTTGCAAGTTTGGAAGTTTCGCAAGAGTT